TTAATATCATGCCTGTTATTTGTTACACCATGTGATGCTAAAAGAAATGGTATGTTTGTTAGGTTGTGTCCAGCAAGAATTTCAATGGGTGTTCGGGACAATGTGTGAGTGTTTGTACATCAGACCACTGTTTAACAATCAATATTTACTTCTGATGATAAAAAAAATCTGACTGATTGAAAACGATTACTTCATTCCAAATCAAAAGATGCAAGGGATTATTCTTCTGTTAACATGTCGATCGCGTATTTTTTTCAGATTATTTTCTTAATGATAGCTTATTTTATCCTTTTTTGTATAAACAACCACTGCAACCTTTTTTGAAATGCAAACCAAAATTGTATAACCTTTAACACTAACACTCACACATTGGTTTAAGTCAATGAGGTCCATTTTGTTATAAAATGAATTCTGAAACTAACTGTTCCTGATTCAAGCTTCCAATACCCATACCTTTTTGTATTTATATTGTTTTGAAATACCAAGCGGGGTCGACGCTAATGTTAAATCTCCATAGGTGTTGACCCTACCTTTGACTTGAGAACAGAACCTGATTGTTAGCGTGATGACATGAATATGGGCCCTGGTGTTCGTCAAGGAGCTAGACTTTTGCTATGCACGGCAGAGACGAAAACCTTATTTATAAATTCACTGCTGAGATTTGTTTTGCATGAGCTATTGCCATGCATCCGATCGTTCATCTTATTTTTTCACATATCTCATGTCATTAGAATGATGACGTAGAATTCAAAAATAGCAGCCGATCGGACAATGAGCAACAGTTTCGCGACTGTGACATTTGTATGTGTGTAATAATTAACTAGCTCCGTTTGTCAATATATCATCTGGTTTCACAAACAATTTTTGGTTGGGAATTATCAAATATTTTCTATTTTTTGTTGTTGTCTTGTTAGGTCCTGTTGTGATATTTTTGAGTTCCTTGCTTATTGATGATTGATCACTTTGTTTTGTTCTTTTTTACCTTAAATAAAATATCCAATATGTATAGGATTTTGTTACATCTCGAATTATCTCTTATCTTCATCAAAGACATGAGAAAACTGGAAACCGGGATGTCGGGTGGCGCTTTTCACCAAGATGGCCATATTCGATTCCCCAATCGGACGTGGAAATATATTGGGTTATCTACCAAGCCACGGGGGGTTTCGCCTGTTACTCGTGGTGTTCTCTTTCCCTTTAAAACCACATGCGCGGTTTCATCAGGGCCAACACGGGAAATAATATAGGAAAAATTTGTCTGATGATTTTGTTTAAAGAACTAGTGTTGATATCATGCAAATTGGCGGTTTCGTAATTATGAGTAAATATTTTTATAAGAATACAAAACATGAATACGTGGTGTGTTTTTGATGCCATTTTAATGTGTTATAAATAAAAATAAAAAAGTAACAACAGTGGAGCATGATTATTTGAGTAATGTTTCGTAAATATTGACGGTAAACAAACACACACACAGAACAAAATTACCGATTTAATTTGACGACTGGTTGTTTACTTAAAAGTTTCATACATTTTCTAACCGTATATATTTAAGGAAAACTTTTGTATAATTCGATTATATTAACAGGTTTTTTTCTGTAAATTGTTCCTATTTTATTCACTAGTCAGATAAGCGGACACAAAAATTCATTTTAAAAACATATTAACGTGTGATCGGTTCAATAAAAGTAACAGTCTGAAATCTGCATATGCATTGATTAACTCCGCCTCCACATACTGTTCATGACGTCACACAATTGAGTCTCGTTAGCGGAAAAAATCAAAAGCTCCGCTGACATATATTGTTATCGACGTCATGGAAAGTTGGTGTTTTTTGTGTTATGACGTATGTGTTTTGCTGTACTCAAAAACCATTGCACGGAAATCACAATGAAAGTTGAAAAAAAATGTGGGCAAGCTCCACAGATGTACTCCCGCTTGCGTTTACAATGTTTCTTTAGCAAAAATTAAAGTTTCAGGGGCCAAAACTCAAGAAAAAGAATTCGAATACAAATTTCCTTTCTACTTGCACATATATATATTATGTGCTTTAACTGTGGCAAGTCCCAAAAAATAATCGGAAAAACCTGTTGCGCTTATAAGGGTTCCAGGGCAGAAAGTTTTAAGGGCAATAAATCCAGGAAAAAATAGTCGAATCGCAAATTCGCTGTTTCCTAGTTGATGTGTGCATCTACACCAGATGTGAATTTCCACTGTGTCTAGTTACAAAATGAATCCAACGCACTGTTTAGGAGGAGTTGCTCTTACCAGGATCGTGGACAGATGGACAGACAGGGTGAGTTATATACTTCGTTTGCAGGGTGGGAGTGTATAATAATGTAAAGGATATACTAGTTAATGGATAATATGTAGTTGCCAAAAACCTGTGTATATCATTAGACAGCAAAACGTGTTAATAAGTATAACTAATAAAATGATGCTGCTCGGCCGTCCATACGTGTATGTTTCAAAAATAAAACAATCATATCGGTGTCATTAAAATTTATCTAGTCAAACATCTAAAATTGTTGACACCAGGACATTTTCATATACATTTTAATTTACAAACTTATAAAAATCTGAAAGCGCCTGACCACTGTGTCTATAAAAAAATATACATTTTGTATGGGACAATAAGTTATGGCATCAGTATAGCGCAAGTTGTCAAATTTCGGGCATCACCGCTTCTTTATCAGGACACATACACAGCAAAACATGGAAGAGTTACTTATGATACAACTTGAAATAAGAAAGTAAATGAATAAATTAATAAATAAACAAACAAATAAAGTGAAACCGATATTTAACAACAACAATAATCCTTTCGGCCAGTGTGAGCAAAAGACAGCAAAATTCATTAGTGAATTGATCATTGAATTAATGTATTCAAATCTCTATAATAAAAAAATGGCAAAAGCCCAAGTATGAATATTTTTATAATTCATTAATATATCGATTCAGCGTCAGATGAATGACACTGACGTAATATACTTGAGTCCGTCATCAGACCACATACATCATACATATTGTTTTATCAAACAATGAATGGCATTATATGCCCACTACTCAACTCAAACATCGATATCATGTAAACTTCCTCGTTCTTCGAAATACCTGTTCACGAGTTGTTTCTTAGCCGATGGATAGACCAGATAGACACATTGGACGTGATTGCATAGCTCAAGCTTTGAATTATGACGTCACGTCACAGTGCTTTGCGTGATTATTTTCAATTGTGCCATCATGATTCAAAGGTTTCCCCAATCAGAGCCAATGTATTTTTCCAAGGGAAACGTATGGTTTTCTAGATATGAAATGAACGTTTTGGGAGAAAAACGGTCCCCAAATTGGTGATGGTTGGTGGAAATCATGCTTGGCAATTTTCTAGTTGAAAAAATCGAGCATTTCTAAAGTTTACTTACTCGAGTTAGATAAACATGATAACCAACCATCACTCGTTGGGGAACCTCTATTTACTAGGTACATTATGCATGGGAACAAAACACAGGCAAACACGCAAAAAACCGCCAGCATTGCCACATTGCACTCGTCCTTCATGCACATAAAAAATACGATGTGTTCATCCAAAGTTCATAATATCTTAATTACATTTTAAATCAAAACCTTTGTTACTGAATCGGCAAATACTGTCGCCTAAAATTACATTGTAGCCAACATTCCAACCGAGCAATTAGTTATGACGTCACAATCAATGTAAATGAAGCCATCGTAAATTTCGATCACTGACTTTCAGTTTTCTTTGAAAAAATATGAAGAAAGGTTTTTTTCACACTAAAAAATATTCATTTAACTAGAAGAAAATGGAAAAACCTCCATAAAAATGTAGAAGTAGGTTGTAGGTAAGTAACTATATAAAATACATAAATCATTTATTTCTTCAAACTTAACATTACATATACATTTTGTATCAAAAGTCAAAACAAGTCATCAAAATCAATAATATCAAAAATAGCAACAACAAAGATTACCAAGAATCTGGCATAATAAAATCACAGTATGAAATTATAATATATACTCTATCCAACAAAGTTCCAATAAAAGTATATATTGGCATCAAACTCGTATAGCAAACACAAATTCACCAAAATTGGATCAAGGCCAAACATTTTCCACCTTAAATAACATACACAACTAAACTCGTCCCAAAACGGCCAGCTTTTCACTCGCGAAAATTTGCACTTACAAATGTTTTTCGACACTCTTGTTAAACATCTTTATGGTTCATACCTTTCTTATAGAATTCTTGCCCTCCATTATACACCCAAGGGTTGAACAGTCTGGGCATTGTTCAGAGAATCAAGACCAAAACGGATCGACCTGTGTCTGAAATTCCAACCGTGGATTTAAAACCATAGGAGTTATCAACTAAGTATTTTTCATTGCAATAAGATACAAAACTAAGATCTCAAAATAAAATGTCATATGTTCACTTGGCTGATTTGATGACAAAATAACCTACGTACATTTGTTCTAGGTTATGCGGTATGCATGTGTGTTCGTTTTCCAACTCATCCTCGATATCCAGGAGTTACGCTGACTTCGCTCCCTGCACCCATGGAATATGTCATAGCAAATTTGAAGGCATGCGTCTAGCTATTTGATTGGTCTCAGGTAAAAAAAATACCTTACCAACACTAGGTTAATGTCCTTTGACGATCACAGAGGAGCGACACCCGACTTGAAAGCCATTAAGTTTTACTGTTACGCGACCGCAAAATTTTGTTGATGTACATCAAAGGATAAAACTCGTCTCATCCACAACATGGCGCACACTAAGCCTTCGATTTTGCTTTGACATAATACAGGGGTGCAGAGAGCGAAAGTAAGTGTAACCCCATCCTCGATATCCAGGGGTTACGCTCACTTTCGCTCTCTACACCCCTGAAATATGTCATAGCAAAATTGAAGGCTCGGTGTGCGCCACCTTGTTGCTGATACAAGGAGACTAGTTCGATCCTTTGATATACATCAAAAGAATCTCGCGGTCACGTAACGGTAAAAATTGACAAGCTTGGAAGTCGGGCGTCTCTCCGTTGTAATCTTGTTTGGCCATGCGTTTGAGTCATACCTGTTTTCTAAATCTTTACAACCGTACATTTCTACTTCTACTTCTAAATGGTACTGACCAACTTCAACAATTTGAAGATAAAATTTATGTACATAAATTGAATATAATGCATAAAATATATTACGCCTATGTGATCTTAGACAGAAAACCCCCAAAAGTTAAAAATGCCGTCTGCATCACATCGAGGCTATTGATTATTTTATCACTCACTTTCAAACATAAAAATATGTTCAATCGTTAATCTAAAGCAACGCGCCATAATCAAGGGTTATGTGATGTTTGACAAATCAATGACGTTACCCTGGTAACACTGCACAAAAGATGACACAATAAGGACGTTTAATAAAAAACTAACTTTCCATAGGTTGCTGACTATAAGACTCTTTCATGTCTAGGGGTGTAGGATAAGAACATTCAACCAATACCGTTTTCGAATTGATGCAAAACGAGAATTAAATTTCCTTATGCTACACCCCTGGGCATCGGCATGACAGAGTGTTTATCTCTCTCATTCCATTCACCAGAATTGGCTCAGCAACCACACAAGGGTGTCATAATTTTCCCATCGCGGCATCGGATTTAATGTGTCCGGTTTCGTGACGTCACGTCATTGTTGTCCCAGTGTAACGTCACGCAGGTGAAATGGGGTGTTACATTAATTGATAAAACACGTTTTCTTCCAGCTTTGTCGCGAGATCATTTTTTTCGTCATGGCCACGTATATAAAACCGAGTAACCACATGCGAGCGATGAGAAAATTGTTCTCACGACAAACCAGGAACACACTGTGTGATAAACAGTTAAACGTCTATATACTACGATCTGACATACTTCTTCATTCAAAACATATCAAGTAAATACCATATCCTTCAATTGATTTCTTGCCTTTATGATAATCGAGATCTAACAAAGATATATTAGATTTGCGTGGAGGAGTACCACTCAACTTAAAACTATGTAGAAAGACATTTTTAATACAATATTACACTGGCTTTTCCAGGTGCACATTTAAGCTTCAAATGGTGTTGTTATCCTCACAATATTTTTTCATAACTTTATCATGATTTGTTTGATGATGGGCTATTTTCCCGATTTACCAAACACTCCTTTTACGTTAAGACAGTCCTTACTGTGACAAGGTAAACACATCATATATATGTTAAAGTCGGCATATTACCAAATCAAGCCTACATGTCACATGTCCCTATTTGTAAAGCACGTGCTTTATCATGCCGGAAATTCCAAACACTCTTTTCACATAACCATGATGACTATTTTAAACATGGTCTTGACTAACCTTTGATCGTAGATCAAGCAAAATCACATGGTCACTGTCGAGTTACGACAATGGTTGTACTATAGACAGAGTAGGTGGTTTAAGCATATTACTAAGCATCATCATCACTTCCTCGATTTCGGCATGCATAAAATCTAGCTTAACGCTGATTTCTTCCTTCTCTACATGTGCTGTATCGTGGACTGTTATTTCGCCTGTTTCTTGACCGGAGAAGTCGTTGCCTGCTGATTTCTCTTTTTCCTGATGTCGAGCAAATTGGTTGTCATCTCCAGCTTGACCACCACTAAGCATTGTTAAAAATTTGTCCCTGTCATCCCTGGCATGTACAGAGCATTATTTAAGATGTCCGTATTCCTATTGGAAACAGCTGGTGGAGGATAGGGCATCTGTGTCACATTGCTAAGCATCATCTTCAGTTCCTCGAGTTGGGTCGACATTGAATCTAACTTCACGTTGATTTCTTCATTCTCTTCATGTGCTGTTCTTGGGACTATGACTTCCTTCTCAATATTTTGATCTGACAATTCAATGGCTGTGGTTTTGTCACTGGAGCTACCTCTTTCATTTAACGCTTCGGTAGTAGGTGATTGGCCCTCGTTGGATAAGATGACTGTTCCTGCCTCTGTTTGTGTGATAGCGTCCTTGGTTTCTTTTTGGTTTGGTTGCCTCACATCATTTGGCGCATCTGGCCTGTATATTACAGTGGACTGTAAATGTTGCTTGGCAAATGTGACATCATCCCCAACTTGGTCACCACTGAGTTGTTCATTATTTATCTTTGCTAAAAAGTCTCTTACATTCTTTCCTGGCATGTGTATAGCAGTGTTAAAGGCACCTTTATTCGTCTTTGTAGCAGCTGATGGAACACCGAACATGATTCTCTTCTGATCCTGTTTCGCGTTTGACTCATGATCTGCCACTGACCGTTGTAAATCTGTGTCTTTTGTTTCACGCGGTACGGTCCACATATCTTGTCCTGCCATCAAAACAAATCACAAATACAGATGAGTATTCCCTAGGTGCATCACATTATAAATTATAAGTGGCCACGAAGAGAGATTTTCTCCAATGATTAAAGTGTTGGATGGGTCAAAGGGTAATCTACAGTGATATAAGATGACCCACACTTTTCTGGCATCCTCGTTAGTTGGAACTTAATCACGTGTAGGTCTGTGATTTGTGATATTGACTCGGTGTTACTATATTTAGAAATAGCAGGTTAATATTCATTTTATGACGTTATTTCAGTTAAAATGACACAGTGTTATGTGCCAAATATAGTGCAATACTCCTGACAATTTTCATACGGTCCATCTTGTTTGATCATAATTATGTGGTTATATAGACATAAACAACTTATAATGAACTCGAATTCGTCTCGGTTAACGCCGCTTTCTCATGTTCATAAAACCACATATTCACCTCAACTGATAAGTATCGTGAACTGCGAATTATATAATTATGTTACTTCCCTTATATATGAGGGTGAAATGAAGATTATTTTTTGAAACCAAACATGGAACACGAGCTGGTAAGAGTAAACAAAATAATTTCTTAAAGAATATTGTGACTTACAATAATTGTAAATGATGTAACAGAATATAGAAAGTTATACGATGATTTTAGAAATCGGTATGGCAAACTTGTAGTTTGATTATAATAATTTTGCATAGGTTTTCCAATTATTGGACCAAATTACGTGCGTCAGATGACACTTCCTCCACTGTGCGTATTACCTCTGAAATTTATACATGACGATGTTACCTTTTCCAATATACTGTAGAAGTATTATTAAGACATTATTGCAAGTGGAAATGTTTGCAATGTGACAGTAAACTAAACTGACCACGGTATAATAATTTTGGCATTGACAATGGTTTGAAATCTATTTATTCTATATATATACACATACACAAAGTATATATTCGCGTTTGGATGATACAGCTTAATATCCTCAACGTTGAAAAACGAGAATTTCAACACCGCGAAAAAGTAAACGTTTGCAGTAAGTAGATTACCTGTAGATTCATCCACTTCCTTTGGCACTGTAGATGGGCATGCTTCGCCTTCATGGTCTTGTGTTGGAAACTCCACATACTCATCTGTCACGTCAATGTCGCGGCGGCCGTTGGTCGGTGTTGGACTGGGCATGTACTTTTTTAACTGATTTGTGAAAATGTTAAAATTGTGTTCAGTTTGTTTCCAGGCCGAATCATATGCTTCTGCAAGACCTTCACCATTGCTGGTGTCATCCAAAATCCGTGTCATGAATTTCTCGACACATTGTTTGAAATACGCAATGTTATCATATCTCGGCGGAGGCTTGCTGGGATTGTGCGAACTGGCATTCCATAGGAGAACGGATATAATCATTAAGGCATCGGTGAGCCGCGTTTGGTACCTCCCCAACTCATCTTTCGTTAACAACAGTTCATTTTCCATTTGATGAACTGGGAGAAAATCAAATGAATTTGTACTGTCCTCTTTACTATCTAGGTAATCCACCTCTCCTATAAAAATGAAAAAAATAATTCAATAAACAATCAATTATAATAAAGGTATATCGATATCGATCTACTGTTAAGTATGTCAGAATATCTCTTTACACAATTTAAAAGGGAAATTTTCTGCGATGACATTTAACTGATTTTGTAATGTCATTATCTTTTTATAGTGTGGATGTAGGGAAAGTCTGGTCCTGCTTTGAAAACTGGGGTCGCGGTTGCCGAGTGGTTAATTAAGGCGTCTGACATTCTGCTACCTCTAGCCCTCATTAAATTATTTATATGTGATATCTTTCATCCTAGTGACCCTTTTTGTTGAAAATAACTTCCATTCTACTAAAATAAACAGCAACAATACGGACAAGAGAATCTGTTATGTTTGTACGCAGTTAATAATGTCACGCTAAAATAAGGCAAACCTGGTGGGGGATGAGGATACGGCCAGGTCATATCAATATTCGGACTATTTGGTGGGAATTTTACACTTCCTAAAGAATCGTCTCGTTCAAGTGAGTCTGGGTTTAAAGACTCAATACTGCTATCGTCATCCATACTTCGCTACCTGCCAGCAAAAGAAAAAGTTTTTTTTAAAAAAACGTGTTATTATCTTGCTGTGAGTATGTGCAAGGAACGACAATTCTGGGTTAAGATTGCATCTTTCTTTGGGTTTAAATATCAACATCCAACAAGACAAATGATCAGCAATTAAAATATGAGTAAGTTATATACCAAAAATAATAATAATAGTAATAATAATAATAATACATTAAAGTAGCCTCGGTCTTGGATTTCAAAGATCGGCAATCAATACCACAGGGTCCTGAGAATTTGTTATAGCTATATTTGGACCTAAACTGATGTGTTATGAGTAATTTAACATGTTTAGTGGTTTCGGTCAATTATCGGTAAATACTATTATTGGGGTGACAGTTTGACCGGAAATTGATCTAAACCCCTAAAACTTGAAATTACTCAGACACCTCAGTTTAGGTAAAATTAAAGCTGTAACAAACTCTCATGTCCCTGTGTCCATCACCACATTTTACACATTCACGAAAAATGCATGTGCCAGGTAAGTTGGTATATTTATTTGCCAGAAAAGTAAAATCGAACTGGGCACAAACTATTGAAACATTATCAACGCCCTCATTAATCATCAAACACACACATATACATGTATATATATTATATCAGGTATATTGGCATTCACGAAACGAAGTATCAGAACTATGAGTATATACAAAGTTGGTCTCCGACACAGGGACCTGATAATTTGTTACAGATATATTCGGCCCTAAACTTACCCACTGATGGTATATACGAGTTTGGGGTGGAATTTTTACCGAAATTTGATCTAAACCCCTAAAACGTGTAAAATTGCTTCAGTTTAATTTGTAGCTGTGACAAATTATCATGTCCCTGTGGTCTCCAATAATGTAAACTCCCGGAATTATAGTAAATTATGGAATTAGATCTAAGCCCGTGCTTCTCATACGAGCCTTCATGTTAGTAATCTATGACAATACACCAGAGGTGGTATGCAGGTTATTGGAAGAAAAATAAGTTTCGAGTAGTCTGATATGTTCACATTCTGTGTCCATAGAAAGATTCCTGTTTCCCTACAGTAGGTGTTCAATGTCACTTTCATGATTAACTCATTGTACATGTGAATTATTTAACATAGTTTGTATTTGATAACAATGACAAACAAACTATATTAATGTTTTACATACAACGCCAAATGATCAAATGGGTATATCCAAAATGCTACTTCAGAATAACAATTTAAGAAATAAATATACCGGTATGTATTATTTTTTTATAACTATTAACACGCCTTTTTTCACCAAAAGTAAACGCCATACCGCGAATTATCTTTACAACTTCAGCTTAGTATCAAGTTCATATGCCACAGAATAGATAATTTTCTCCTGTTATATCAATAACTATTTATTAAAGGGATAGTTTTTAATTTTTGTTTTTGTATTCCAGGTAACGCCATGATATCACCAGTTGAGCACGCACGTGTAAACTAAATATACTAGCGGAAAAAAGAAACTGTGCATGCCTAAAATGTGTTATAAAAATAAATGTGTATGACGTAGAACAACAAGGTTATCAGGGACAATTTATTTGTTATTTATTAACAGTTGCATTCCATTTTCCACGTTATGGAATCAATAAGTTCCGCTCAGAAGTGACGTAAACACAGCAGGGGTCAATACTGAGTTCACAAAATTAATACCTCGTATGTCCACCGTTTGCCTGAATGCAAGTCTGGCAACGTCGACGCATGGAGCCTATCAGACGGGTCAAGAATGCTTTTAGGATGGCATTCCAGATCTGTACCAACGCTGCAGCCAAATCAGCCAACGTCACCGGTTGATTAGGTAATGCCCGTAATCTGCGCTTCATTACATCCCAGACGTGTTGAATGGGCGACAGATCGGGGGATACAGCAGGCCAGGGCAACACGTCAACGTTCTGCTGGGCCAGAAAGTTCATAGCGACACGAGCTGTGTGTGGCCTGGCGTTGTCCTGCTGTAGCGTAATGTGACGTTGCTGTCCTTGCACGATGGAACGACGTGGGTCCGGAGGATCTTGTCACGGTAACGTAGCGCGTTCAAATTCCCGTCAACAACCACCAGAAGCGTTCTCCCGTTAGCTGTGATTCCGCCCCAAATCATAACGCTGCCTCCGCCTAAAGATCATCGTGGTACCACACACGCGTCACGGAAACGTTCTCCAACGCTACGATACACTCTGGAACGGCCGTCACTACTATCCAGGATGACTCGCGACTCGTCCGTAAAAAAAATGCCTGCCCAATCCCGTCGAGTAAATCACAAATGCCTTCTGCACCAGTCCAGACGTGCTGCACGATAACATGGCAGAAAAACTGGGCGGATTGCAGGACGTCGCGGACGGATAGCTCGTTCACGCAATCGGTTCCGTACAGTTCTCGGGCTTATTGGTAGCAACCCGGGGATTGTCCGTGCAGTCAAACTTGCCGTTTGGAAGCGATTTCTCAAATGGACAAGCCGAATATTGTTGTCCTGTTGACGTGACGTCACATGTGGATGTCCCGCACGAGGTCGATCGCCGACGTGGCCAAACTGTTGATGTCGTCCTCACAAATCCCGGATTGTGTTTCGATGGACATGAAAACGTGAAGTGACACCGGCTTGGCCCATACCAGCTTGAAGCATACCAATAATCCGGAGGCGGTCATTTTTATTGAGCCTCGGCATAGCATTAATCACAAATTTAAACGTTATAATGCTGTTTTTACTGTTCACTTGTCTCAACAGAGTGATCCAACAGTTGAAAAATAAACTTCCATTGTCGAATTGGATGGCTGGACGAGAAAAAACGTGCAAACTGGTCAACGCCTATAGAGAGTTAACTGCACGGGAAAAAACTGTCAATGACACACGGATAGTGTGAATGTGTCATATTCGGTCATGTGTGTGAATTTTCATGTATATGCAGTTGGTAATATATGTTCTATAACAATTCTCCGCATGCACAGTTTCTTTTTTCCGCTAGTATAGATGGCGAAGCCCACATGTGTTGTTGTCAACGTCAAGGAAACTTGTTATGTTCTATGGTCAGGTTATGGGATGGTAGCTCCAGTTTGTAGGACCAATAGATATTAAGTGAATGTCCGTGTAGACTGTAAATGTGTAAGACCACACACTTGTGTTTTTCTAACGAATCAGAAAGCACTCATTTATTGCGCGGACGAATATATACGTCCGCGAGTGTTTTACGATTCGTTAGAAAACACAAATGTGTGGTCTTGCTTTTATCACATACCTTCCTTATTTGGTAGAGATCGATACAAAGATTTTGAAAACTTTGATATTTTTGGCAAATACCGTAAACTTTTCAGTTCGCCATGACAAGGGGATTCCCATAAAAAGTAGTTCCGGCTAGTAGGTAAATACAACATTCCGTATTGCACATGTGCAATACAGAACGTTGTATTTGTCTAACCCGAGATTCTGCCGAGGGTTAGACAACCAAAAAGAATAACCCCGAGGGTGGGAGATTTCTCTGTTACATCCTCAAGGTAGGGGATGATTATTTTTCTCGCATCCTATTATTTCAGTCACAACTCCATCGATGGTAGTCTGCCATGGTTGTAAACGAGAACACATGTACGGTATGAACATCGTCATTCACTTTTAAACAGGTCACAATGACCGGTGACACATGTTAATGACGTCACAATTGAACACGTGCTAATCGGCACGAGGCTATCTCTCCCTAGGGGTGACAAGTTGATCTTTCCCGACTAAAACGGGGGATACACCTGTGAACTGTGGGAGAAATTTCTATCTCCCACCCTCCACAGGTGTGTCTCCCTTTAAGCCGGAAAAAATCAGCTTGTCACCCCCTCGTGCAGAATGGCGCGAGCTAAATCAAAACAATAGTATGACGTCACGTCAACAGTAGCAGCCCATGGAAGACAACTCTAGATTTGCTGGAAAAACATACAATCAACGCTTATATTTTATGCAATCAATGCTTGTCAGTGGATTTGTGAGTGAAACAGGATGGGAGAAAAACAATCATCCCTACATTGAGGGTGTGACAGAGAAATCTCCAACCCTCGGGATGATAGTATCGAACGTCTTACCCTCGGCACAGCCTCGGGTAAGACTATCAAGAAAGTCCCTCGGGTTGGCGATGTCCCTGTCACACCCTCAAGGTAGGGGAAGATTATATTAGTCTTACCCTGGGTTCCTTGCCATGACAAGTGTATGACGTAACGACCACAATTCATTAGCGTCACGTTACCAATGACAGATCACGACAGATAGCTGATTGGGTTTGCTGGAATCATTCAACCACACTTGTATTGGAAGTGTGTGTGTGTGTGTGTGTGTGTGTGGGGGGGGGGGGGGGGGGGGGGGGGGGGGGTATAACCATTTCCCACTTTGGGAGATTGATAAGATTTAGTCATACCCTATGCTAAATGTATACCATAGAAATATCAACCCTCGTAGTAACATTCTAGATAGCTTGAATGTGTAACCCTCGGTTTGAGGCAAGCCTCGAGTTAGACAATGAAGAATATTACTCCTAGGTTGAGATTTGTTTACTGTTATACCTCCATGGTAGGGGAAGATTCTATTCGTACCTTGCTATTATCAGTCGGTTTTAGCTTGAAGTAAACCTCGGATTAGACAATGAAAAATAGCACCCCTTAGGTTGAGATTTCTCTGTCATACCCTCACGACAGAGGGAAATTTTCTTGGCACCTTCCTATTATGTTATGACATCACGGCTGTCATATCCTAGGATTTGACAGAGAAATCGTATCATGGAGGGATGACAGAAAAATCTTGAAGACCGATAAGGGGAAACAATTCTGTAACTGGTGGGAGATTCTTATAATACCTGTTAAATTTTCCAAAAATGAAATTTCTCAAAATCATTGATTAAGCAGCAGGCCGGTTGGTACAATAATATGTATGTAATTTTCATTATAAACAAAATTAATAAGTCCGGACTCGGGGCGGCACCTTGAGGTACCCCAGTAGAAATACAAACATGCCAGTCAGAAACTTGACCATTAAGAAGGGGTACCACTTTAATGCTTCAGTAAGCCATAACGGATAAGCTTGATTTTTTTCAGAAATGAAGTCTATGGTAAGGTTATTATGAAATTTTGTTTTCCTCTATCATTCCGTTTATAGAAAACGAGGGGGTCAAATATGGTATTATAATTAGATGATGTGTATGTGTATCTTTCTAATTTCTCATGATTTTTTTTATCTTTTTTTTAGAGAAGTGAATGTTAAGTACTAAAAACTAATAGCTCTTTTCAACATAAACATCTAACACCACTTCCAAAATAAACTTAAAACCCGTTCATTTAACGTCATCATGACTAATTATTAGCTCCAGTAAATTAGGGGG